TCTTCTATTATTTTATTCATTTGATTCTTTATTATTTATATTAATTTATTTGTTTCTTGGCTTTTTTCTATTATTTTTCTTCTTCTTTCTGTTTCATCATTTCTATCAATTATTCATTCTCCTCTTTTAATTGCTTCTGAATATGTTTCATTTGGTTTTATTTCAAATATTTCATTTTTAATACTTCCTAAATAATATTGATACTGTTTAGTAGTATCATCAATTGATTGTTGAATATTTGGAAGTGTTTCTATTTCTTCTTTAAAGAAATGAGTATTCTTATTTATTAACTCTTCCATTTTAATTTAATGAATATAAATCAAAATCATGATTAAATAATTAAATACACATTATAACAAATTATTTTATTTATTATTTTATTATTTTATTTAATATCATTTTATTTTATTAATTTTAAATAACAATTTTAAATAATAAAATTAAATAATAAAATATAATAAAATATAATAAAATATAATATTGTTATTTATCTATAAATAGATTATGATTTATTATATTTTATAAAAATTATTATTATATTTTCCATTTCTTCTTTATTTAATTTATTATAATTTATTATAATTTATTATTTTAATTTATTATTCTATTCTTTGTTTTCTTCTGTTTTTCTATATTTCTTATTATTCTTGTTGTTTCACTTCTTTTATTCTTTTCTTTTGTTTTCACTCTTTTCTCTCCTTAATCCATCTTTAACTTCTTTTATTTTGGATTGAATACTTCTTGTTCTACACACTCCTTTTTCTTTGTATCTATTTTTTATTTATCCATTCTCCTATTTACTCTCATTTTCTTGTTTTTTCATTTCAAATTCTTGGTTGTTAATAATTATGAATCTCATGTGTGTTATTTATTATCATAGTATTTACTATGTTTTTCTTTTCTCATTTTACTCGCTTTTTCATTGTATATCTTTTACCATTCTTATTATCCATTTTATTATTCTTTATCCTTCTTTTCTTCTCTCTCCCTTGAATGTTTTCTGTTCTTTACTTTTTTTAACAATGGAAGTTGTTGTAAAGAAAGCACAAAAAGGAGTTATTGTTCATAAGAAAAAAGAAGAAAGATTTTAGTTATATTCAAGAACCATTCAATGAATAAATTTACATTGTATTTGTGAATTGAAGAAGATAAAAAATTTAATAAAAAAAAGGATTTAGAAAATTAAGAATTAAGAGGAAAGTCAAGAAAGTCATTAACAATGATTTATAAGTTAATGAAAAAGAGTGAGAAAACTATATGAAGTAAATAAAAAAGAAACAAATTCATCAAACAATCTAAATTTTTATTCAAAAGATTAAAAAAAAAAAAGATAGAAGAAAGAAAAATATAAAGGCAAAAACATAAATATATCTGCCATAAAGCAACGTGCAGGAGTTGAGAACAATTACATACATACACATTCAGAAATGATAGAACAAGCAATTCTGAAAAGTTCATTCATAATAGTTTCAACAGTTGGTTGTTTTTTCATATGTTCAAGAAGTTGAGTATCACAAACTTCAGTTCCATCAAGAAAGAGAGGTTTAGGGAAACCCCAATTAGAATAATTTTCAGTATCAGATTTAAAAACAACAATAAATTTTTTTTGAGAAAATCCAAAAGAAGATACTTTTAATTCAGTTTCTTTAAGTTCACAAGTAAAGAAATGATTAATATTACAATAATCAGTTACTTCTTTTACTAATTGTTTAAATCTTTGTGATTCAATACGAGTTGAATATTGAGAACGAATAGATTGAAGTTGAATTTGTTTTAATGTTTTAATCATTTCTTTTCTTTTAATTATATTAGGATCAATCATAACTTTAGGAATAATTTTTAATGAATGTTTATAAAATTTACTTTTATCAGTTGGTTGAATTCTTAATTTAGGTTGTTTTTTAATAATAATAGGTAATTCTTCATCACTATCAATTACTCCTTCTGAATAACTTCTTTCTATTTTAGGGTTTTCATTTTTTGTATCTACACCAATATCTTCAATAGATTCATTACATTTTTCAATTTTAGTTTCTGTAATATTTGTAGTATTATTAATTTTATTCTTAGTATAATAATCTTCATCACTAAGTAAATACGATGTAGTAATTCCTTTTGAAAATTTAAATCTAAAATACTCGTTATGTCTCCTCATAGGTTTTGTAGTTAAAAAATTTATTGGTGGTAATTCATTATCTCCTATATTTTTTTGTACCTCAATAAATGAATTATTTGTCTTATTTAAATTTGTATGTGATGTTGTAGTGATGTGCTGAATTCTCTTGTGGGGAGCTTCAGCGTGCAACATAGACAATTGACCTTAATAAAAGAATATTCGATCCCTTCTTATATTCATTTCTTTTTCTTTTTTTATATCATACAGTTTATTATATTTTTATATTATTTTATTTCTTCTTTTTTCTTCTTTTTCTAAATTTCTCAAATTTATTTTTATTTTATTTCTTTCTAACTTTTGTTTTATTTAAAAATTATCAATTTTTTTTTTTTTTACATATTAATAATTTCCTTTATTATTCATTTATAACTCTTAAGTTTTTTTTTTTTTTGACTTTTTGATATACTTAAACAATCATCTTTATTTCTTTCATTTTTTACATTTAATTTTTCATTCATTTCTTTATTAATTTTCTCTATTTTACCCTATTTTAGGGTTCTTATGTAAAATATTCCTCTCTTTTATTTTTCAATTAATTTCTTAAACTTGAAATGGAATTTCGTACACTAATAACATACAAATAAATATATTGTTATTTTTTTTCTTTAATTTTTTTGTAAAACTTTTTATTTTCTGCTTTATAAAACATAAAATAATTTTCAATCATTCATATTCAATCTATCTTATCTTTTTTATTCAATTTCATCAAAATGGAATGTACGTAATTGTCTAAATTGTTTACCACTCATATGTCTCAATTTTTTCTTATTTGTAATTTGTTGAACAATAGTATTTTTAGCAATATTTTCTTTCTTTCTAATAATTGCTTGTTTTCTTGCTTCTTTTCTTTTTATTTCTTCTTCAGCTTTTCTTGTTCTAATTTCTTCATCAAGTGCTTTCATCATTTGTCTACGTTTCTTCATTTCCATTTTTTCTTCCCAACTAATTCCAGCTGTTACTACATTATCTTTAATTGATTTCTTTTTATAAGCTTCTTTCCATGGTCTTCCAGATATATTAATTCCACGAATTGGTTTTTTAATTTCTTTCTTTTCTTCTTTTATTTCTGGTTCTTTTTTCACAGTAATTTCTTTAATTATTTCTTCTTTTTGTTTTTCACATTGATTTGTATTTATTTGTTGTTGTGTTTCACTACTCATCTTCTTATCTTCTTTTTTTTTTTCTTTTTAAGGGTTTTTTTTTTTTTATTTCTTAAAAAGTTTTTTTAGAATATAATTAAATTTTATTTAGAAAATCATCATTAATGTTTCTTTTCATTATAATTTTAATCTTTAATCTTTTACTTTAAAATAATTTTAATGATAAGATGATCCAATAATTGTTCTATGAGATACTTTCCATGGTTTTTGATCTTTTTTTATTCCATTAAATAATGGTTTTAATTTTTCTTTTTTCATTCTTTCATTAATTTGTGATCCATCTGATTTTTGATAAAATGCTGGTGCTAATTCAATAAGCCATTGAGGATCAATAGCTATTACTTCTCTCATATATTCTTTAGTAGTTAATACAAGTTCATGATATATAACCCAATCAGGATTTCTTCCAAATAAAGAACTAGTAGGATGAATAAATACTTGTTGACCATCAACTAAAGTTCTATAACCTTCTTGAGGATCTCTTTTTGCTGCATGAACAAAAAATCCAGAAACAATAGATTTAATAATTGGAATAGGATTATTATGAGAAGAAATAAGTTGAATATTATATTTTTTCATTATTTTTATTAATTGATTTCTAATATCTTCAGATTTATATAAAGATCTAAAGTTAATATAATTTTCTTTACACCAACTAGGAGATTTTTGATTTTTTATCCAATCATTATAAATATTTAACATTGTTAAATGATCACCAGCTGAATTACTTAATTGTCTTTTTCTTCTATCAGCTTCTTCTTCTTTTTCTTTTGGTCTAATAAATAAATTACCAACACTTAAAGTTGCTACAATTGTTACTATTTCTTCACTACATCCAAATTGTTCTGATACAATTAACATTTTTGATAAAGGTGGTTCTAAAGGAAATTCTGCCATTTTTCTTCCAAGTTGAGTTAATTTTCCATTATCATCTAATGCACTAATAGCATAAAGATGATGTAAAGCACTAATTAATGTATTATACATTGGAGGATCCATATAATCAAAATCAATAACATTATTAATTCCAATTGCTTTTAATATTAAAACAATATCAGCAAGATTTGCTCTTTGTATTTCTGGAATAGTTACAATAGGCATTTCATTTAAATATGCTTTTTGAGTATATAATCTATAACATTTTCCAGGTCCAGTTCTTCCAGCTCTACCAGCTCTTTGATCAGCACAAGCTTGACTAATTGGAGTTATTAATAATTGATCCATTCCAAGTTTTGGATTATGTATTTTTTGTTTAACAAAACCTGAATCTACAACAAAATAAATTCCATCAATAGTAATAGAAGTTTCAGCTATATTTGTAGCAATAATACATTTTCTAGTAAAAGGTGGTGCTGGTTCAAAAATTTTTTTTTGTTGTTCAGTAGATAAAGAAGCATAAATAGGTAAAGCAATTAATTTAGGATATCTTTTATCTAATTTTTTAATTTTTTCATTAATTAATAAACAAGTAAAATCAATTTCTTCTTGACCTGTTAAAAAAAATAAAATATCTCCAGGTGGTTGTGTAAGATGAATTTTCATAATAGTTTCAATTCCACTTTGAATATAATCCATTTCTGGTTCTTCTAAATATAATTTTTCTACTGGAAATGTTCTTCCTGGAATATAAATAATAGGTGCTTTATTAAAATATATAGAAAATTTATTTGCATCTAATGTAGCTGATGTTATTATTAATTTAAATTCTGGTCTATGTTTAATTGTTTCTTTTAATAATCCAAATAAAATATCTATTCCAACTGTTCTTTCATGTGCTTCATCAAGAATAAGAACTTTATATTGAGGTAAATCTTTATCAATAAGATATTCTCTTAATAACATTCCATTAGTCATATATTTAATTCTTGTTTTTTCTGTTGTTTTATCTTCAAATCTAATACTGTATCCTACTTCTTCTCCTAATTTTACTCCCATTTCTTCTGCAACTCTTTGAGATACACTAATAGCAGCTACTCTTCTTGGTTGAGTACATCCAATTTTTCCTTTTTTACTATATCCTTCTTCATCTAAATATTGTGTTAATTGTGTTGTTTTACCACATCCTGTTTCTCCAATAAGAATAATTATTTGATTTTTTTTAATACTTTCCATTAATTTATTTTTCATTAAATATATTGGTAATTCTTTTCTTTTTTCTTCATTACTTTTTTTAAATTCTTTTGTTATTTTTTCTTCTCTTTGTTCCCATTCTTTTTTTTCTTTTTCTTTTGGTATTATATTTCCTATTTCTTTAATAATTTCTTTTATATCTTTAATTTCTTTAATATTTATTTCTAATTCTTTTTTTCTTTTTTTATCTTTAATTTCAATTCCTTCAATTTTTTCTTCTTCTTTTTTTTCTTTTTTATCTTTTCTTTTCTTTGCAATTTGAATTGCCATTATTGCACTTCTTTGTAAATGTCCTTCTGGTTGTTTTTCTACTTCTTTTATTTTTGAATTATTAATTTCTTTAATTTTCCCTTTAAGAAATCTTGGTTCTTCTTCATTTAATTTAACATCTTTTATTGTTATTTCTTCTTTTAAAATTTCTTCTATTGGTAAATCTGATTGTTTCATTATTCCTGCTGCAATTAATTTTTCCATTTCATTTCTTTCTTCTGAACTTATTCTTTTTTTATCATAACTCTTTTCATTTGTTCTTCCTCTATCTTTTTTTCTTATTATTTTATTGTCTTCTTCATTAATTTTTCTTCTTTTATATTCTTCATTAAATCGTTTACTTCTTAATTTTCCAATTTCTTTTCCATTTAGTTCTTGATATAATTTTCTTTGATCATATATTTCATAAAATCTTTCAAGTTTATTAGATTCTTCAAATTTCATAACTTTTTGTAATTTTTGAATAAACTCTGTTCTACTTTGACATTTTTTAATAACAGCTAAAATATTTTCTGCTATATTGAGATCTGCTGTTCCATATAATTCTTCTAAATAAAAACAATAATCAGATAAGATTTCAATCTCTTCTAATATTTCCATTAAAATTTTAATTTCTTTAATATGAAAATATTTGTTCAAGTTCTATTAAATTTTTATTAAAACAAAAAACAAAAAAAAAAACATTTTTAACTCAATAATTATTCTGTATCTTCTTCTATCATTGATTCTATTATTTCTTTCTTTTTTGTAATTATTTGTTCAATTCTTTTATTAGAAACATCTTTATCAAATTCTTTATGATTAATTGCATCTTTACATATTTCAATCATTGATTTAGAAATAGATAAGAAATTAGGTCTTTCATTAGGTTCTTGTTTCCAACAATTAACAATAAGAGATTGAAGATTTTCAGGCATTTTTTCATCAATTTCTAATCTTCCACCATTAATTACAATATTTTTAATATCAAATAAAGATTTACATTCTCTATATGGTTCTTTAGCATAAAATAATTCCCAAGCAGTAATAGCAAAAGAAAAAACATCACTAGCATTATAATATTTATCTTGATAACATTCAGGTGCTATATAAATTGGTGTTCCAAGACCTTTATCATTATTTTTTCTTTTAGTAAATCTAGAAGTACCAAAATCAGTAATTTTTGCAACACAACTAGAATCTGAATATAAAGAATTTAATAAAATATTATCAGGTTTTAAATCAAGATGCATAATATTATTTTCATGAAGAAATACCATTCCTTTAGCAGTATCAAATAAAATTCTCATTTTAAGTTCAAAAGGTAATATAATATTTTCAGAATTATTTTTTCTAATATAATTAGATAATGAACCTAATGGCATATATATTGTAACCATACAAATTTCAGGAATATAAGTAACTGATCCAATATAATTAACAATAAATGGATTTCTTAATTTACTAACTAATTCACATTCACTAATAACTTCTTCTTTTAATTCTTCTATTTCTTTATCATTAAGATTTTTCCAATGAAATTGTTTAACAGCAACAGGAATACTACGATATTTTCCTAAATAAACAGTACCCATTGAACCATTTCCAATTGGTGGTTCTTTAATTTGTAATTCATCTAAATCAAGATTAGTAGAATTAGTTGCTTCAGTAGTAATAATAAAATTACCATAATATTTTTTAGTAACATTTTTCATTAAAATATTCATATTTTCTTTATCTTTTTCATTCCATGTTTCAAAATCTTTATTTTTAAGAAGATTTATTATTTCTTTTAATATTTCTTTCTTTTTACTAAAATAAATTGTATATGGTATTTTCATTCCCATAATTTTTGTTGTACAAAATAATGTCATTATAATTGTTTCTATTTTTTTATGTTTACTTTTAATTATTAATATTTGTGGTTCAAAATAAAATATATATTTTGGTGTTTTTGGTGTATGAAAAATAATCATCATCCATTTATTACTTTTATTTTCAATTTCAATATCTTGAAATCTTGTTTCATTAATATTTGTAGTTTTTCCTTCATTTCCAAATGATAATTCATTTCTTTCAATTTTATATTCTAATTCTATTTCTTTATTTTCTTTAATTGCTCTACTAATATCATGATAATATGTTATTTGTTGTGTTCTATAAATATTTATAGATACTCTCTTTTTTGTTTTAAATACAAAATAAAAAATACTTATAATCATTATTATTATTATTATTATTCCACATCCTCCTATAATAATTATTATTATCCACCATATTTTTTCTTTTTTTTGACATATTCCATTTTGACTAATATATCCTTTTTCACATTCACAATATTTATTACATGATGTTGTATTATCACATTCTTCTCCTTCTTCTATTTTACCATTTCCACATGTTATTATTTTACATTTTTGTTCTTCTGTTATTATATAATTTTTATTACATCTACATGTTTCTATATTACATCCTTTTCCTTCTAAACATTCATTTTTTCCTCCTTTAATTTTATTTAAACATGTATTTGATATACATTTATGTTCTTTAATACTATATCCTTCTTCACATATACAATCTCTAGTTTTACATCCTATTTCTCCATAATAACATCTACTATTATTATTTTCTTTAATATCATTTCTCCATTTTCCATTATAATAACATAATTCTGAACAATCTTCATATCCATATCCTTCTTTACATTCACATCCTTTACTCATTAAATTACAAAATCCATATCCTTCTTTATAATGACAATCATTATGACAAATTATTTTAAATGTTAATTCAATATCTTCAAGAAATTCATCTAACATTAAAAAAAATGAATGGTTTCCTTTAATTCTAACACTTAATCCAAGTTCTTCTCCATCAGATAACCAATTATTCCATTTTCTTCCTACCCAAACATCAAGACATCCATCAGTTAATCCATTTTCTGTAACTTTATTAATTTCTATTAAATATGCTAATTTATTATTTCTTGTTGTATCAATAAGAAGACTATAATCTTCTGGTACTGAAACTGTAAATGGCATTCCTCTTAAATATAAATTATTTGCACATTCTGGTGAAAAAACTAGTCCTTGTGATGAAATAGGAACTTTTATTTGATATTTTTCTTCTTTATTAATTAAATTATTAAAGAATGTTTGATTAAATCTACCTATTAAATTAAAAAAAACTTTATTTGAATCAATTTCTGTTGTAAATATAATTTCAACATCTTCTTCTGATTGAATAAATAAATAATATTTTGTATTTTTATAAAATGTTAATGCCATATATGCACGTGTTGTTCCTGGTTTTAAAATACTTTGACCAAGACAATTTGCTGTTAAATCATTTGGTGAATTTGTTGTAACACTCATAATAACTTGACTTTCTTTTTTTGTTTTAAATTTAATTTCAAAATTAATTAATGTTGAATCTTTTCCTGTTGTATCAATTTCCATAATTCGAGTTAATTTAAATAATTTATTTGTTATTATATTAGATGCACATGGTCCAATTCCAATTGCTGTTTCTATTTCTTCATATGATATATTAATATCTTTTTCTATACTACTATCTGTAAATCTAACTATTGTATTATATTCTTTTCCTGGATGCCAATTTAATGTTAATGGATGAAGTGTTTGATTAACAATAATACAATTCCCATTTCTTTGAATTGTAACTGGATTTTCTTCTGAAATATCTTGACGTGGATTAAACTGAAAACATTCACTACAATTTTTATCATTAAGATTATATCCTTTTTTACATGTTTCACAATATCCATCATATAAACAATTAATACATCCAACTCCACATATTGCTCCATTATTTATATAAACAAATAATAGAATTATTAAAATAATATGTTGTATTGTTCTAATAAATAAATTCATTTGATTGGTTGGTTCTTTTTGTTCTTTTTTTTTATAAAATTTGTTTTTTTTTTTTTTTTTTTAATATATATTTTTTAAAATAACAAATATCATCATTAAAAAATTATAAATTCACTTTTGAAAAATATTTAGAATACTTTTTAAGAATCATTGATCTATTATTTAGAAATTAACTCAAAATATAAAAATTAAAAGATTGTAAATGGGAGAGTTTATACAAGAGATTGAAAATGAAATTTGTGAATATTGCATGGAAAATGATGAAGTATTTTTAGTTGATCATGACATTAAAAATCATAAATTAACATTAGGACTATCAAAATATGATGAAGAATTTGAAATATATTATGATAATGAATATCCTAAATCAAAATATGTTATTGAAATGAAAGGAAAAAATAATGAACATACAATTAAAAGAACTAATACAATGATAGAAATTGGAAAAATAAAAGGAATTAAAGAAGTAATAAAAATATTTCTAGAAAATGATAGAGAAGAACGAAATTATATTAAAAAAAAACAAGAAAATCATGAAATACAAAAGAAAAAAATGAAAGAAAGAATGAAAGAAGTATATAAAAAAATTGTTAATTCAAAAGTAAAATCAGAAATTAATTTTAATACTCAACTTGCATTTCAAATATTAAGTGATGATATTATTGAAATTCATTTAAATAAAGAAAAATATAAATTTGATGTTGAAGCAGTAAATGATAATCCATTTCATTGGATTGTATCATTTTTTGGTTTTAATGATAATACTAAAATAGGAAAAGATATTCTGAAATTAGAAACATTATCTAGACTAGATTGTATTCAAATGGAATTTAAATTTTCAGTAACTATGTTTCCAGTTTTTCCACCTGAATATAATTTTCTTGCACCAAAATTAACTAAAGAATCATTAAAGTCTATTTTTCAAAGTGGTGCATTTGCAGATGAATGTTATAATCCATTTACTAAAATCAAATTATTTAATATTATTTGGGAGTTAATTAATCTCTTTGGAAAAATTGATTTTGGAATAAATCAATCCACTGTATTGGATTATACTATTCAAGAATTTTATACTGAACAACAACTCTGTAAACCATTTCTTGGTCAAGTTACTCATTTAGGACAAAAATTTATTTTGGAAAATAAAATTCATAATATCCCTACTAATAATTCAATTCAATTTAACTCTTTTATTACACAACATTATCCATGTATTGAAAAATTCTTAATTGGAATGAGGCATGTTAATTTCATTTCAGTTAATGACTCTGGTTTCTTTTGTTGGCATGGTACTTCTGATGCATCCATCCAATCTATCTGTAAAGATGGTTTTGATCCAATGAGAAGGACTGGACAATTTTATGGAAGAGGAGAGTATTTTGGAAAAACAGCTGACATTTCAATGGGTTATTGTAAAGGGAATTACCATCTAATACTATGTTATGTCCTTAAATCAGATAAAGTCAAAACCATAGATATTGGTTATGTCGTTGATAACCCAGCTGATTGGAGTTATTCATATTGTCTTCCATTATTAGTTATTACTTATGGAAATGGAAAACCTGTTATCTTTTTAGATAAAACATTAAATTAAATCTTCATTTCTTCTTTCATTTCTTTAAAAAACAATATATTCAACACATGAATAGAACTTCTTCAATTATTGAACATAGAAAAATAATTTTTTTTCTCTTAGTAAAACAAAGAATGTTTATTGAAGTATTCTATAATTAATTAACTCTAGCGTTTATATCAAGTTCAAAAAAAATTAAGAAAAAAAGTTACTGTTTTAATTGTTGCAAAATTAAGATAAAACTTATTATTAACATATAAATATTGTTATTACTTGTTGATTATTTTTTTGAGCTTTTTGGTCAATTTCTTTTTATTTGACTTTTAGCTGAATGTTTTTAATAAATACTAAGTTATTGACAGTACGATTAAATGGTTATTGATTCGTGTTATGTAATAAGAGTAAATTTAATTTTTAATAATCAAAATATTTATTCTTAACTTATTAAATTTACTCTCTTGTAAATGATAAAACATAATAGTAATACAAATTCAATGGAAAATACTTATTTAAATGATTAGTGACAGAAGTTAAACTAATATGTGTTATATCCTTAGAAATTTGATAAAGTTTTATAATTAAAAAATGTTATTAATAAAAATAAAGAAAGTAAGTTAAATCTAACCTTTTATAACTATTAATGGTTTTAAACGAAGAACAATCTTCGAAATACCTGCTGCTTGACAAGTTTCTACAACTTCAGTAACATCTTTGTACGCTTCATCTGCTTCTTCTGCGGCAAGTTTTGGGTCAGTAATTCTCAACTCAATTCCCATTTCTTTTATTCTGTTAATTACATCCTTTGAAGTTAAATTGTCCATAGCTTTTACTCTACTCATTTTACGACCTGCTCCATGACAAGTTGAACCAAATGATTTTTTCATTCCTTCTTGAGTTCCAACTAATACATAAGAACAAGTTCCCATGCTTCCACCAATAATTGCTGGTTGTCCAATTTCCTTATAATCTTCTGAAATATCAGGGTGTTGAGGTGGAAAAGCACGAGTAGCACCTTTTCTATGAACAATACATTGAACTTTTTTATTATCTACTTCATGTTCTTCTACCTTAGCAATGTTATGACAAACGTCATAAACCAAATGCATGTCCATTTTTTTTGGTTTCATTCTAAGAACTGTTTCAAATGCTTGACGGATTCTATAAGTAATCATTCCCCTATTTGCAAATGCAAAATTAGCACAACAATTCATAGCACTATAATATTGTTGGCCTATTGGTGAATTAAATGGAACACCAGTTAATTGTTTATCAATTGGATTACAAATTCCAGATTTCATACATAAATCAATGTAATCTTGACATACTTGATGTCCTAATCCTCTGCTTCCACAATGAACCATAATACAAACTTGTCCAACTTCATTAATACCCATTGCTTTAGCTGCCTCCACATCCATAATTTCATCAACAACTTGAACTTCTAAATAATGATTTCCACTTCCTAGTGTTCCTACTTGTTTATATCCACGAGACTTAGCTGATTTAGAAACTAACGATGGATCAGCGTTAGCAATTTTTCCATGCTCTTCACAATGACTTAAATCTTCTTCCCAGGCATATCCATTTTTAACTAAAAATTCTAATCCTTCTGTCATAATAGAATCAAAGTCTTCAGGGCTAAAGGCAATTTGTGCTTTTGTTCCAACTCCACTTGGAATTTGTTTAAACAGTTCATCAGCTAAACGAGATTTGTGTTGTTCTATATCCTCTCTTTGTAAATTTGTTCTTATCAATCTTACACCACAATTGATATCAAATCCAACTCCTCCAGGACAAATTACTGCTTCAGAATTATCAAGTCTCATTGCTACTACTCCTCCAATAGAAAACCCATAACCACTATGTGCGTCTGGCATAGCAAGTGAAGCAACTACTCCTGGAAGAGTAGCTGCATTAGCTGTTTGTCTTACACAAGAAGGGTAATTATTAGAAATGTCTTTAATCATTTCAAAAGTTAATAAATTAAACAAGTCATCATTGCAAAAGATTTTGGCATCTCCATTCATTCCTTCTACAAATCCTTTTTTAATTTCTAATTCCATTGGTTTTCTTTCCAACTTTCCATCATAAACTTTAGGAATTTGGAAGCCATTAAAGTCAATTGTCTCAACTTCTGGTACAGATTTCTCTTCAGTAGAGACAGTGTTTTCCTGAACTCTTTGCAACTTTTTTCCTTTGTTCTTTCTTGAGTATCTACTTTTGGCCATATTGTATGAGTAAAAGAAATGAATTTCTTTTAAGTTTTTAAATCTTCAATGAGATTTTTCTTTTGAGTCTTGTCATAAACTACTCTTTTAGATTATTAAATAATAAATAAACTTTTTTTTCATTTACAAAAAAACAAGATTCATAAATGAACTTTAAAAATAGTTTTTATGACGTTTATTAAAAATAATATTGTAATATAAAACAAAAAAAGAAAGGGTTAAAACAAAAAAAGAAAAATAAAAAAATAATGAAAAAAAACTATTTTTGTCATGTCGAGAGATAGTGTTGAAAACAAAATAGAAGAATTTTTAAGAGTATTACACTCTAATGCATTCACACTTCAACGAGGACCTGTAAAAGTACCATTACACTCAAATCCTAATACAGCAAATGAAAATCAAATGATTACATTACCAACAACATTAGAAGATTTTTCATTTAGTAATTCAAATAATAAAAATACTGATTCATGTAGAGTAGAATTAAAAGATGGAATATTGACACAAATGGGACAAAGTATTTCTTTAAAAGATTGGGACGAAATTTTTAAAAGTGCTGATAATTCTGATTTTAGTACTATAACACCTGCCAGTGCTCAAAGACTGTTAAAACTTTATTCATTGTCTACAAATCGTCCATTTCCTATTAGTTATTTCACTTCACAATGGAAACACCCTCAAAGTCAATTAAGATATTTGCAATCATTTGCTTTTAATGGAGATTTATTACCAGATGTTATTGAGCCATTATGTTCATTATATGCCTTATCTAAGGCAAGTGTGATTAGAACATTATTCTGTATTCTACAAAGTAATCCTGCTGCATTTCCTTTATTAGCTTCAATTGATTCACCACCAACAATTATTGCATTAGGAAAATATTTTCATTACTTACTTTCATCAAATAACTTCTTTCAAATTGAACAAATGCTACCATTGTTTTCATCAATTACATCAAAGGCATTATCAAATGAATTACAATCTTCACCAACAATGCAACATTCTTTAATTAAATATTTATCTATAACTAAATCACCATTAGAAACTATTGATTCATTAAAAGTACGTGGTATTGAAGGAACAATCATAGGATTAATGTTGGTTCAAGATGATGTTATATCAATTAAGGGATGGGCTTCAACATGTGGATGGGCTGAAGAAATTGTAAGGTATCATTCTGAAGAATTAAAGAAAGCAGGTATTAGGGATGATATAATAAAACGAGCAGAAGATGTCTTTGGAGGAGAGCAAAGTGATTTTGTTGCTGAAAAAGTATTAGAAGAATTTAAAAAGAATTATAAAAAATTTGGAGGATTAAATGAAGTAATAAAGATGAAAGGAACAAAAGAATATGAGTATATTATGTATTCATTATTGACTATGTGTGATAAATCGTTTCAAAAAGAAGAAGATGCTATATTTATAGGAAGTATTATTGGAGAAATTATTGATGATAGTCTTCTTCCAGTACCTTTAGTAATGCATATGATGCGGTGTGTTATTAATGCCTTGAGAATACCTGGAAATCAATTTGAATTTGGTATTGCAGCATTAAAAAAATTTATAAGAAAATTAAGACAGTGGAAATTATATGGAAGATTAATTTTAGCTAATAAAAGATTACAAGAAAAACATCCAGAACTTGTCAATAATATTACAGCTCGTAGTGATCAAATTCCATATGTTTCAAATGAAGAAGTTATTAATAGAATAAATGAAATTAAACCATTAAATAAAGAAATGCAACAAATTATGTTTAGTATATTAACTCTTGCAAAAGAAGATTTAAAAATGGCATGTTCTCAATTTGTTGCTTTTTGTAGACCTAAGGCAATTACATCTATTGCTGAAGTAATTGTTTATCCTTGTTTGTCAAGACCAGAACTTATTCCTATTTATCTTTCATTAATACAAGTTCATCATAAAACGTTTCATTCCCAATTACAAAGTTTTATTACTCAAGAAGTTAATCGCGTAATAAAAAAATTGTTATCTCAACAACTTACTCCAGTTGATGCTGTAATATTACATCGTTCAGGAACAGTAATTGGTAAAGTTACTTTAGCAAATAACTATCCAGTTTTAACAAGGGATCTTTATATAAGAGAGCTTTTAGAAGATTCATTAAGTCATACTTGGTGTTGTGATGTTCTTCTCTTTGTTATTAGATTATTAAAAGAAGCAAAAGGAATTTTCAACAAACAAAATCCCTGGATGTCAAAATTACTTTCAATTCTTAGAGCAGTCTATGAAGCCATGCCACCATCAACATCTATTCATGGGGATCTTCATAAATTACTAACACAATTTCCAACAAATAATCTTGTTGAACTAAAAGTAGAAGAGAAAAGAATTATAGCAACAACAGAAGTTGCTGGAGAGTTATTAGATCTTGAAACAGTAGTAAAAAGAGGTATTTCACAAATATTATTAGAAAGTTATTATTCAAGAAAAATAAAAATTGAAGAAAGTATAAAAATATGTCCATGGGTTATTACTTCAACATATAAAGAGTCAGAATGGAAATTAATATTCTCAGTTGTTGGTCAATGTATTGAGGAAGAATATCAAAAAACTAAAACCAAAGCTATAGAGAGTGTTGTTTCAATGATTAAAAATACTATCATTAGAGATACTAAAAGATCTCCAAGAGAAATTTGTAAAAGATGTATTTATCAATTTGTTCATTCAACAGGAAAAAAGATTTTTACTATTAAAGCACAACAATATATTCCAAAGAGGTATTATGAAGAAATGGAAAAATGGAGAAACGCTTTTGAAGAAAAGATGAATGAAAATGAATTACCAGAAGAAGTTCATGACATTGCATTATTTACAATTATTAAGTCAAATGAGTTATGGAAAAAATGGATTATACAACCTCAAATAGATCAAGTCATTAAAGAAATAGTTGATAGTTGTGTTAAAGAATCTATTAAAAAAGGAAATGAGGAAGTTGATAAAAGAGAAATAATTGCTTTTGATGATAAAATTAATCAATATTTAACTCAATCTCAATTACTTGCAAAGTCTGTATTATTACCTTATCAACAAAGTATTTATGATGATATTGAAATAAAAAAAGATAAATATCAAGTGTGTCCTAATAAAAAAGAACATCCATTGTTTAAAAGGATTGATATTACTAAGACAAACACAAATGAATTAAATCTCATAAGCAAATCTCTTGATGCTGAATGGAGTTATAATCTTTATGTATATGTCGTATTAGAAGAATTAAGTGATGAAAATAATAGTCTTGAAATACCTTTGTTTATTGATCATATTTGTGGGTTAATAAAAGAAAGTGTTTCATTTATTAAATCTATTGATAGTGTATATGAAGGATTGTATTGGATATTATTTAAAAATCAGTCAAATGACTTTATTGAAAAACAAATTAAAAGTATTATTTATGCATTCCATTCTTTCTTTATTACTTCTTCTTCATCTGAACTAACAAAAAGATCATTTTATTCTTGTCATCATAGATTTTTATTAAATACTGAACCATTACAAATCCCAACATTTGCCTTTTATTGGATTGAGTTTATTACTCCTTCATTTATTTTAAATAGAGTTGAATACAATCCAAAAGAATTTACATCACTATTAGTACAATTACTTAAATTTATCGTTGGATTAATTAGGAACGAAAAAGAAATTCCAAAATCAATATTATTGTTATACTCTACTACTCTTCGTCTTTTTGCTATTCTTCGTCACGACTATTCAAATTATATTTCATCATATTTTATTGATCTTATCCAATTTATTCCATATAAATTCGGTCAATTACGTTCTATAATCTTAACATCAATCCCTTCTAAAATTCCATTTTCAATGAATATTGCATTTAATGAAAATGAAAGTGTTCGTGTTCAACCTTTAATTCTATCAGAAATATATCTTCCACAACAAGCATTAATCGATATTTTTATTTCAAGTGGAGAGGAAAAATTTTTACCATTCCTTCTTGATTCTATTCAACCTCAACACTATCTCCCATTATGTGTTTATTTAGCAATTCAACGAGAAGATAAAACTCATAGTGATGCTGTTTCTTTACTATTATATTATTTAGTATTCAATTTATCTATTGAAAAAAGAAATAATTTACTTAACGCAATGGTTGATAACCTCAGGTATGCAAATTCACATACATTATATTACAGTGTCATTATTCAAATGCTCTTTTCTTCAGATGAAATAGTTGCAGAACAAATAATCACAATTTTAATTCAAAGGTTGTTGACGTCAAAACCATTACAGCTGGGTGTTATAGTAACATTTATGGAAATTATGAATGTAAAAAGATATGACTTACTAAATAAAAAATTCATGAAACAACACCAAAAAGTACTAAATATTATATTAAAACCAAATTGATATGCTTTTCATTATTCCTTAATTTTTAGCTTTTTAGATAAAGTTTGTTAATGTAATTAGTCCTTTTCAGAGCCCCAATTAGATTATTAAATACATTACACACTTTCCATTATTTTTATTCATTGTTTAATCAACACATTCATTTAGAAAAATCTAGTATTAAAAAGAAACAAAACAAAAGATAACACACTTATATTTTGCTTTATTTGTAGTTCTCTTGTATATGTAAAACTAGGTTTTATTAATTTGTTTTGAAAGAAATGGCACCACAAAAAAATGAAAGAAGACTACTAAATATCCAAGATAAAATAACTGAATTTTTCTATGCGTCACAGTTATTTAATAAAAAATATTAATGATATCTTTAAAAATAACTACTCTTATTCTAAAACAAATTTTATTAACTATTTTCACACTTAGTGCTGATAAGAGTTAGTCAAATTATGTATAATTAATACATTTTTAAAAGGAAAATTTTTCGTAAAAAAAGAACTCCTCTGTTAAAAAAAAAGTTGTTTCTTATTATTCAGTTGATTTTAATTTTAATCTGTGTAGTGGGCATAAGGTTCTTGAGAGTTTTTGTAATTATTTAAAAATTCATTAAAACATTAAGTTATTGTTTTTTTTATTTAATCATTTTGTCTTTATTTTATTATTACTTGTTTATTTAATACAAATTAAATTACTTCTCCATCATCACCTTTTTCATATCTATTAAAATAATTCTCTGTAATTATGTAATTTATCTACCTGTATTATTTACATTATTTTTTAAATGGTTTTATTTCATTCTTTCAATTAATATATCAACTTTTTGTTTACGAAATATAAAGGGTATGAAAGAGAACGTCATTAAATTATTTTTTTTTTCTTGTTGTATTTGTTGAGTCTCGTTATTATAATAATATAAATATCATTTATACCATTTGAAGTATAATAAATAGATTTTTTGATTTATGAATTTATCTTATATTAACGTTTTAATATCATAAACTTCAGTTTATTTTTAAGTAACGAAATATAATGAATATATTTGATATAGTGTGTTTGTATCCATCATATCTTATTTAAAATAATATAATATATTCTATTTGATGACGCTCTTTCTTGTTCAACTAATTATCAACTGTATGAATAAAAAACAACTTTGTTCTTTTTTAAATTTCTGGAAATATCAATCTTAATAATTGATAACATTAGAAAGATAAGAAAGATAGGGAGATAAATAAAAGCAAATGGATGATACTACAGTAATAAGAATACACAGAGACATAATTTAACTGTAATAAAAAAAAAGAGCACCAGTACTAAAAAGAAATAAATACAAAAATTAGTTTTTAAGTGTTAAGAGAATCTGTTTAATTGTTACTTATTTTTTTTCTTAATTTAGTATTATACCTGTCATCAATTAGTAAAAGTATTTGAGTGTAATAAAAACAATGTTCCATGACATCTTTCTTGTTTTAAATTACAATAATGTTTAATTTTTTGGTGTTATCATTTTTTAATTTTTTAATTAATTTAAGTTCTGTATCTAACATTTTAATTGTAATTATTACTGGAATTATTTTGTCATATTTTGTTTTCTCTTGTTTATTTTATTTCTTTATTCTCTTTTCTTTAAATTAACTCTATTATATTTAACTAATTAATTCAAAATCCTTCACTTTTATTATTATTCTATTTCTTTATTTTTTGTATTTTCATTTTGTAGTTTCTTTATTTTTCATTGTTAATGATGTTATCATTATTTTTGTATATTTATTATCACTTTCTATTTATCTATTTCTTTCTTTGTTATCTTTCTTTATCATTTGTTGTATTGGTATTATTTAGTCTTTTCTTCTTTTTTATATTATTTATCTTGTTCTTATTTTTATTTCATTTATTGTTATTTAGTGTTTGTTTTGATTTATTTCTTCTTTTTTCATATTATCACAACTATCTCATTAATTACAGATAATGTCACCATTATCTCATATTTCTTTCTCATTCATACTTTCCCTTTCTTTTATTTTACTTTTTCATTAATTTATCATATTTGTATTATTTTTATTATTTGATTGTAAGTTGATTGTTCTTTTTATTTGTGTTTCTATTTCTTCCATTTCTTTCTAAATATTATCTATATTTTGTGTTTTTATCATTATATTTGGTGAGATGATATGTTTTTATTTCTTTTTTTTTCTTCAGTATCATCTAGTTTGTTGATTTTTATTACTTATTCTATAGTTGTTAATTTCTTCTTTGTCTTGTGTTTTTCTTTATTTGTTTTTTTACAATATCCAAAATATAACAATAAACATTTCTATAGTTGATAATACTAATTTATTGTTTTAGTTATGCCTTCTTTTGTTAATTTAATGAATATATTTATGATTATAAACATCTAATGACAATGTCTATTGTTGTTCATTAAATCAATTTTCATCTCTATCATTCGTATTCTATCATATCTCACAATTAGTCTAATTCATAAAATTGAATTAATTTGAACAATAAATTACATTTAATTATATCAATTATTCTAATCAACTAGTAATCAATGGTGTTTTGAATGATTCAATGATAAAATATATTTAATTATCATTTATATTTGAATAATTGATAATAATGTTAATAATCAAATTATGAATATTATCATTGACTAGTATTTTAACTTCTTTCTTATTCATTGTATAATACATGTTATATTTCTCATTCAACTTCTGCTTTAAATTGAATGATATTAATTTATTTAAAATAATCTCTGATAAATAAATAATCACACTAATGTATTATAACATGATACCATCACTCAAATTGTGAGAATGTTTTATTTTTAATAGAACCAAAATGAGTTGTAATAGTAATTAAATGGTCACACATCAAGTAATAATTATAAAATAATATATTACAAACATTAATCTAAATTAATTAAGTGAAAACAAATGTGTTTGAAATGTTCTAGTTAAATGTTGTTGTGTTAAGAGATGTTAAAATAAAATATAAACATCATTCATAATAATTAATGATGACTATTTAAATTATTTCATTCATATGAATAGAAAATATCTAGAATAAGAAAAACATTGTTAAAAATAAATGAATAACCGAATAACCAGAAAATCAGATAGAAATAATAATATAATAAATAAGCAATATGGATATAAAATAATGAAGAAAATAATGGTAAAAATGAAATAATGAGTATAAAGAAATAATAATTTAATAGAAACACTATTTAAGAAGATTGAATTAAATTAAACCATTTTAAGAAATAAAAATAAAATGATATTTTATAAATGAATTATTATTAATATTATTAAATTTAACTATTTCTTCAATTATTTCAAATGTGTTTATTAACATATTTAATTATTTGTCTTTTTATTTTTCTTGTTAATTCATTAAAAACAATATCTTTCATTTATAAAGTAAAACACAGGGTA